TGCAGGGAACCTCTGCCTGGTATCTGGGACCAGTACCTGGACCAGTTCCAGAAGCTGCTGGTGCTCCGCTGCCTGCGTGGGGACAAGGTTACCAATGCCATGCAGGACTTCGTGTCCTCCAACCTGGAGCCACGCTTCATTGAGCCGCAGGCAAGTGCGGGGCGGCCCCAGGATGGGGGAAGCCTCAGGTCCCCGCACAGAGTCCCCGGCCCCTCTCTGGATGCCCCAGCTGGCTCCAGCTTCTCCTCCTGCCCCACAGACTGCCAACCTGTCGGTGGTGTTCAAAGACTCCAACGCCGCCACACCCCTCATCTTTGTGCTGTCCCCCGGCACTGACCCCGCCGCTGACCTCTATAAGTTTGCTGAAGAGATGAAGTTCTCCAAGAAGCTCTCTGCCATCTCCCTGGGCCAGGGCCAGGTAGGGGTGGGCCAGGGTATGAAGGAGGGGGGTGGAGGGGGTAGGCCAGCTGGCCCTCTGCCGCTCAGCCCCCCTGTCTCCAAAGGGACCTCGAGCAGAAGCCATGATGCGCAGTTCCATAGAGAGGGGCAAGTGGGTCTTCTTCCAGAACTGCCACCTGGCACCCAGCTGGATGCCGGCGCTGGAGCGCCTCATCGAGCACATCAATCCTGACAAGGTGCCTGTCTCTGCCCACCCCTGGCTGCTGACTCAGCCTCTCCCCAAGCGAGCCCACCCGCCCCCAGTTACCTGCCCCAGACCCGAACATGGGGGACGCTGGGATTTGCCGAAGCCCCTATTCTTCACCAAGGGCCTCTGCAGCCTGGAGTGGCCTAAGATTGAGGGCCAGGGTCGGGGCGACCACCAGGTATAGGTCTCGAGCTCACCTGGGGCACGGCCCCCCAGGTGCACCGGGACTTCCGCCTGTGGCTCACCAGTCTGCCTAGCAACAAGTTCCCAGTGACCATCCTGCAGAACAGTTCCAAGATGACCATCGAGCCACCGCGCGGCGTCAAGGCCAACCTGCTCAAGTCCTACAGCAGCCTTAGCGACGACTTCCTCAACTCCTGTCACAAGGTGAGGCCCCGCCCCAGTGCCCCAGGCCCCGCCCCTGCCTTCGCCCCGCCCCAGGACCCAGACCCCGCCCCCACATGGCCCCGCCCCAGGGTCCCAGACCCGCCCCATCTCTCACTCTCGCCCCGCCCCAGAACCCGCCCCATCGCCCCGCCTCTACAAGGCCCCGCCCCTCCCTGGCCCCAGGGCCCGCCCCTTCCCGCCCCGCCCCTCTCCCAGCCTCGCCCCACCCGTCCCCAGACGCTGGAGTTCAAGTCCCTGCTGCTGTCTCTGTGCCTCTTCCACGGGAACGTGCTTGAGCGCCGCAAGTTCGGGCCCTTGGGCTTCAACATCCCCTATGAGTTCACGGACGGGGATCTGCGCATCTGCATCAGCCAGCTCAAGATGTTCCTGGACGAGTACGACAGCATTCCCTACAAGGTGGGTGGGCACAGACGGTGTGGGGACGGGGGTGGGGGGGACTGAAGGGGCTGGGGGAATGGGAAAAGGGGCGCTCCGTCACCTACTCACCCCCCTCCCCACACAGGTCCTCAAGTACACGGCAGGGGAGATCAACTACGGGGGCCGAGTGACAGACGACTGGGACCGCCGCTGCATCATGAACATCCTGGAGGACTTCTACAGCCCCCTGGTGCTCTTCCCCGAGCACACCTACAGCGCCTCGGGGGTCTACCACCAGATCCAGCCCACCTACGACCTCAACGTGAGCGCAGGCCACAGGCAGGCCGTGTGCAGGCTGGCTTTTGGGGGTGCTGTGGGGACAGGAGCTCGTCCTCACCCTCCAGTAGCTCCCTTCATTAGACAAGTCGCTTAAAACATGTTGACCCTGCCTCCACAATTTGTGTTCATTAAGCCACATACAAGTGAGAGCCACAGTTGGGTGTACACCGACTTCCATACGTCCTCCAGAGACTGGGGCGGGCCAGACCCATCCCTGCTCTGGACTCAGTCAGGTTCTAACCTCGAGTATCACTCTTCGGTTGTGGGGCTCCTTAAGGAAATGCTTTCAGGAAGGGGGGGTGTGGAAGGCAGCAGGCCTGCAGGCTGCAGAGAGAAGCTGAGTGAGGCTCAGGATGCCAGGCACTGGAGAAGGGGCTGGGAGGGAGGCACATGAGCTGTGGACGGGGAGATGTCCAACTGGAGGGCCCCTGGCCAGATGTGGGGACACGCAAGGTAGGGATTCACTCATGCCCCCCCCCACTTCCAGGGCTACCTCTCCTACATCAAAGGTCTCCCACTCAACGACATGCCTGAGATCTTTGGTCTCCACGACAATGCCAACATCACCTTCGCCCAGAATGAGACTTTTGCTCTTTTTGGTGCCATCATCCAACTGCAACCCAAGTCATCCTCAGTGGGCAGCCAGGACCAAGAGGAGGTGGGCAGCAGCGGGGGTAGGAGCCCCAGGTGGAAATGCCTGCTCCCCTGTGGGCAGGAATTCCATGCACGTGGCAGCCCAAAGGGGAGCAGGGGGCTGGCCCTGACCCCCAGCATGCCTTTGTCTCCACAGGTAGTACAGGATGTAGCCCGGAACATTTTGCTCAAGATCCCTGAACCCATCAACTTGCAGTTTGTGATGGCCAAGTACCCAGTGCTATATGAGGAGTCCATGAACACGGTGCTAGTCCAGGAGGTCATCCGGTAATCCCCCATCCCCCATGGAATTAGCAGGCCACCAGGCTGCAGGAAGTGATAACAAATTGCCATGGGCCAGGTGCTACCCTGTTATAAATCCATCCTCAGGGTCGGAGCAGAAGAACAGCAGGTAGGATATTTGCCTTGCACACGGCTGACCCAGGTTGATTCTCTGGCATCCGATATGCTCCTCCAAGCACTGCCAGAACTTGCTGAGCATCATTGGGTATATCCCAAAAAGAAAAAAAAAACATACTTTCAGAACACGTTCAGTATTGCCACTTCACAGATGAGGAAAACCAAAACAGAAAAACATGTTGACATTAGCACACACTCTCCGTGGTTCTCACTTGTATGTGGCTTAATTAACACAAATTCTGGCACCAGTCAAGGTTTTAAGTGACCCAACCAAGGTGACATATGTGTTAAGGGCTTGAGCTGAGATTGGTACCCAGGCACACCTGAACAGCCTGTGTTCTCAACCAGTCATTTCATTTCTGGCTCCAGCCTACAACCAGGGGGGTGTGGGTGCAGATTGAGCCCCACTGCTAGATCCCTTGCCTCTGGTTCTGCAGGTACAACCGGCTGCTACAGGTGATCACCCAGTCACTGCAAGACTTGCTCAAGGCCCTCAAGGGGCTGGTGGTGATGTCGTCAAAGCTGGAGCTGATGGCAGCCAGTCTGTACAACAACAGTGTGCCTGACCTCTGGAAGGCCAAAGCCTACCCATCACTCAAGCCTCTTTCCTCTTGGGTCATGGACCTGCTTCAGCGCCTGGATTTTCTGAATTCCTGGATCCAGGGAGGCATCCCGGCTATCTTCTGGATCAGTGGCTTCTTCTTCCCCCAGGCTTTCCTGACAGGCACACTGCAAAATTTTGCTCGCAAAAATGTCATTTCCATCGACACCATCTCCTTTGATTTTAAGGTCTGGGAACAGCTAGGGCCAGGTCAGGTACTGGGATAGGAAATAGCCTCGGCAGGAAGAACACCTAAGTCTCAGCTGGGGGTTGGGGTACAGAGGAGAGCCAGGTCAGAGGGGGAGATCTAGAAGACCCAGTACAGAAGAGGTCATGAGCCCCAGTGAAATCCCAAGGTGGCCCAGAGTACAGGTTATCCGCTAAAATGGCTGGTGAGAGATGGGAGGCATGCAGGGTTCTTGGGAGTTTGTGTCCATCTTTTTTTTTGGCTTTGGGACCACAGTGCTCAGGGGTTATTCCTGGCTCTGCACTCAGGGATCACTCCTGGTGGTACCTGTTGTACTATTGCTCCAGCCCCTTGTGTCCATTTTCCGATCCAAACCCTAACCCAGATTCTGGGCTTTTCTGTCCTATCACAGGTGGTGAGCACGCCAGTAGCGCAGATCACAACAAGGCCCCAAGAAGGGTGCTTCATCTATGGGCTGTTCCTGGAAGGTGCCCGCTGGGACCCTGTGGCCTTCCGGCTGGCCGAGTCTCGGCCCAAAGAGCTCTATACAGAGATGGCTGTTATCTGGCTCCTGCCAGTGGCCCATCGCATTGTCCAGGACCAGGACTTCTACCTGTGCCCCATCTATAAGACGCTGACCCGAGCTGGTAAGAAGCTTCAGTGGGAAGCCTATGCACGTAGAGACCCAGGGCAAGACCAGCTGGTCTGAGTCTTGACCAGAGTCACTCACCAGATGGGCTTCCTCCAGGTTCAGGGTCCCTCCACTTTCCCAACCACATCTGATGCAGCTTACCCTCCCTGAGGCTGACTTGGCAACTTAGCAATCCCCACCTCTCGCCTGCTCCAGGGACACTATCCACCACAGGCCACTCTACCAACTATGTCATCGCAGTGGAAATCCCCACAGACCAGACCCAGCGACACTGGATAAAGCGTGGTGTGGCCCTCATCTGTGCCCTGGACTACTAGACTCAGAGGGCTGGGCCATTAAAGTGGTGTTTGAAGCAGTCCAGCTGAGCCTCACCTGCTTGCATCAGAATGGGGCTCGCAGAGAAGAGGGTAGAGAGACGGTTTTGTCCTGCTATACTTGCCCAGATGCAACCGGAGAGAGAGGTGGACCCTCTGGGGAGTCTCCCCTAGGCAGGATGAGGCTGAGTCCCATGGCCCCTTCAGATCGCATGGTCATCAGATCCAGCCAAAGTCCCGGCATGGCCTTTTCCCAAAGGCACCATGTGCACAACTCTGGTGTCCCACAGCCCAGCTCTGAGTGCTAGGCCTCAGAGGGGGCCAAAAACTATTGCCAGGAACACACTGGTCACTTCTGGTGAGTCGGTGCTGGTTGGCTTCAGTCCTCATTTCCCTGAAGGCAGCCTAGCCCACACCTTGGGTCAGCAACCACAAGATTCTTAAGGAGAGTTTTATTCATTCATCGATCCAAATATTTACAGAGGCAAGAGGGGTCAGGCTATGCCCAGCACAGAGGCAGCTGCACCCCGCTTCCTCCCACACACACATACCTTGTTGCTATGTACAAATAAGGGGCGTACTTGGATCACCATCAAAGCCATTGGCGGAGAGACTGTGGGGTTATTTGGGATGAGTGCCAGAGGCAGTGCCGGAGTCCCCATTGGCATCAGGCCCTCTAGAACACAGGGACTTCAGCTGGTTGTCCTGGTCCTCTGTCCCCAACCCTGAGTGCCTTGCAGAGGAGGAAGCTGGCGTGGCAGGAGGCAGCTGAGTGGTGCCAGCCCCCTGCAAGCAGCCCTGTCTCTGCTACCCTTAAGAGGAGGGAGACAGTAATACTGAGGGGTGAGGCAGAGGCTCCTTGGTGCCTCAGGGAGGGGCCCCGGAGCCCGAGGCAGGCTGCACTGCCTGGGCCACAACACTGAAGGCAATGAGCCCTGCGTTGCCCCACACAGAGCAGGCTGGACAGTTATAGGCCACCAAGGGGCTCCAACATGACTCTCTGCTCAGCCCACCACAGCTGGGACACCCCCTCCCCGCCAATCCAGCCAAGCAGTCGGGTCCCTGAGTTTGGAGCTCTCCTGGGAAGAATGACGGGGAGACCTGGCTTCCTCACAACAGGGATGACTGGTGGCTGGGGCTAACACAGAAGGGCCAGTGCCCACCCTGCAGCCGGGCCCACTGAGATGACAGCTCTCAGAAGAGGCTGCAGATTCAAGAAGCCAGCTATGTCAACACAGTGGTGGCAAGATGGGTTACAGCCCAGAAAAATAGACGTCTCTGTAGGTAAAATATATACTCTGCTGCCCAGGCAGCAGGGCCAGCCCGGCCACTCCACAGCCGGCTGCGGAGGCAGCTGCAGCGCCACACTGGGCCCCAGCTCCAGCTGCTGCTTCCTGAATACTACGGGGTGGCCTGGCCCTGCCAGGCCCTGGGCACCTTCCCAGGGTCTGGGCTCTCTGGCTGCAACTATTCAGTAATACTGGGAAGAAGAGGTGGAGGGCAGGAACGGGCCCTGGGGTGGGCCACACGGCAAGAACGGGCTGCAGAGGCGGGTCGTCAGTCCTCACTGGCGCTTGGCCTTGTAGGGGCGCGAGCGTTTCCGCCGGTCGGGCTTCCGCTGTTTGTGCAGCCGGCCGATGCTGACGCCCTGGCGCCGCCGCACAGAGATGTTCTGCTCCACCAGGTTGGCCAGCATGCCTGTGGGGAGCAGAGGCAGAGCGTTTGCACCCCAGGAGGCCAGGCACAGTGGAGGCCGGAGGCCGAGAGACCGGGCCCTCAGCGGGGCAGGCTGGGTGGCACACAGCAGCGAGATCCCTCACCTTCCTGAGCCAGCATGGAGATGAAGGTGCAGATGAACTCATCGTAGTTATGCGTCCTTCTCTGGTCATCGATCTGCAGATGGGCAAGGGGGCAAGGGGTGGCACTGCCATCACCACCTACACAGCCCACCACCTCACCCAGGGAAAGCCACTCGGAGGCCAGGAGTGGGCCGCAAGAGATGACCCACCTTGAACTTCTTCCTCTTCTCTACCTCTTCCTTGAGGGAGGCCTCATAGTTTGCAATCTCTGCCTCCACACATTTCAGCAGCGCCAGCAGCTCCTGCCAAAATCCATCATTGCACCCGCCTGTGAGGGGCTGGCCAGTGCTGACAGCAGCCAGAGGCAAGGATGACCACCAGCACCCACGAACAGCCCCGCCACCCCCATCCACATGGGACTCCTGACACCTGGCTTCAACCCTCTCATCCAAAGTCTCAAGGGGCTATAGAGATGTATCAAAGGGCTAGTGCACCAACTTTGCATACATGAGGCTTGGGTTCAGTCCCTGGCACTACATGGTACCCCGTGTACTGCCAGAAGCAACCCCCAAGCACAGTACAAAGAATAGCCCCCAAAGCATCACTGGGTGGTACGGCCCCCAAACAAACAAAAAGACCCTAGGGCCCGGACCTGGGAAGACAGTACCATGTCAGGGGGGTGTCCTCATTCAGTCCCTGGCATTGCACAAAACCCACTCCACATCCCCACAAAAAAGTATCACCAGGGGTTGGAGTGATAGCACAGCGGGTAGGGCGTTTGCCTTGCACGCGGCTGATCCGGGTTCGATTCCCACCATCCCATATGGTCCCCTGAGCACCGCCAGGGGTGATTCCTGAGTGCAGAGCCAGGAGTAACCCCTGTGCATCGCTGGGTGTGACCCCCAAAGCAAAAAAAAAAAAAGTATCACCAGGTGTGATGGCTCTGGTGGCCCCTGAGCACCACCAGGTGGCGCTGCTAGTTGCCAGCAGTGCAGGGCCAAGCTTTACCTTATAGGCCGGGGCCACAGCTTGTTCTTTTGGCCAAGGATCAGTATAACTGAGAGTGACCCCTGCATCCTGAGCAAAATCTGGGAGTCATCCCAATCCCCCGAAAATAGAAAAAAGAACCAAGCACTTGGGCAGCAGTGCCCAAGCCCTGTGCTCTGCCAGAGCTTCTCCGGAGAGGGGCCATAGAGGGGCTCACCTTGGGCGAGTACTTCTCCCCGCTTACTGGCTCCCCCGACCGAGGCAGCCCCGGCTTCTCTCGGCTGTCCACTGCTTCCAGCACCTCCTTCTCTGGGCTGCCGGACCCTTGGCTGCCATGGCTCGATCTGACGGATGGAGACGAGCCCTTCCCGCCCTCTGGGAAGAGAAGGCACGAGAAGGTTCATCAGAGCACAGGACCCTTAGCACAGTCTGGCACCTCCCACCTCCCTCACTGGAGCGAGCCCCTGGCCCACCTGTCAGCGTCAGGGGGCTCAGTACGCCGTCCTCGGCCAGGTGCAGCAGGCCCGTGCTGATGATGGGGCCCAGGTCGCGGACAGCGCGGTTGTAGCGGATGCAGTCCACACGCAGCAGGCTGTCATCCTCCCCGAAAAGCACCTTGGAGATGTGGGAGGTGACGGGGCTCGAAGGCCGCGTGGGGTTGGCCGAGCGGATGGGGGAGCGCAGCGGGGAGTTGAAAGCGCTGCCGATCTCAGAGGCTGTGTCTGTGCTCTCGTTGCTGGGGGTGGGCGAAGGCTGTGAGTGTCCAGGCACAGCCACGGCTGGACTCCCGGCCCCGCTGCTCGTCTTGATGGACAGAGGCATCGAAAGGTCCTTCTGCGACTCTTTAAGCTTCTCGGCCAAGACGTTGATGGTGTTGGGCTGCAGCACCGACAGCTGCCCATCCCCGGGGCTGCTCAATGTGCCTGGCTTCCCTGGTCCCTTTCGCTTGTACCTGTGGACCCGAGGGGAGGTGAACCAAAGGCGCAGGGGACCACACCCCAGCAGCACCCACAAGGCTAGAACATAGTTCCTCGTTCTTGGTCCAAGCATCTTGACCCTGGCACCCTAAGATCTGACCATGCAGCCAGATGGCCTCAAACCCCACCTCCCCCACCTCAGCACAGGGCTGTGTCTCCACCATGGAACACATGCTTGAGACCCTGACAGCCCTGGCACCTGCCAACAGTAGAGCACGTCTGCTGTCCTCTGCCTGCTTGTTTCAGCAACTAACCAGTGACATGTCTTCCCACATACCTTCCCCGCCACCTGCCTCCTCCACCCCAGCTTTGTTCAGCCCGTCAGAGCCCAGTAAGAAGCCATCTCCACCATATGCTTTAAGGCCCATTCAAAGTACTGGTATGGGATCTGGAGAAACAGTATAGGGCTAAAGGCTGGTTTGATCTCCTCCACCACAAATGGTCCCCTCAGCACTGTCAGGAATGACCTGAGTAGAGCCAGGAGTGGCCCCTGAGCACCACTGGGTGCTTTACTACCCCTACATCCAAAATTAAAATAAAAGTACTGGTGTGGGGGGGGGGAGGGGGGAGTTCAGTGATACAGCACTTGCATATGTGAGGACCTAGCTTCTAAGGTCTCGGACCTCCCCTGAGCTGTCCAAACCACTGAGGGACCCCTCGGGGCCACCCTGTAGCACACGGCTTCTCGCTTCACCCGCACAGCGCACCTGATGGCAGAGTTGGTGTTCTGCACGTCGTCATCCTCATCGTCCTCATAGTCATCCTCATCGTCTGAGTACTGCTGTGGTGGGCGGACTGGAACTCGGCTGCGGCCCACACCAGCCGCCAGGTCTTCCTCCTCCTGAGGCAGAGATCCAGGGCAGATATGAGCAGGGGCCAGTCAGCCGGGGCTGCGCACAGCACTCGCCGCTGGAGAGAACGCCAACAGGACTCACCAGGTCGAGCATCTTACTATGTGGGCTGTCCACCTCAGAGCAATGAAGTACCCCACAGCAGAAGCATTCATCTGCCAGAACTCAACCCAGAAAGATGCCAAGGAACGTGCCCTGGACAGCAAGCCCACCACCTCATGCCTGGATTGACGTCCAAGGCACTCTCATGCCTCCCTAAAGCCCTGGGATTATCAGAAGCATCTGATACCACGTCTGGATTCAGGGCCAACCAGGAGCCACCCACAACCAGCCCACTGCAGCTGCCTCTCAAAAGAAGTCCTTAAGGGTGCCCTGTGAAGTGCTCCCAACCTACCTGCATGGGGGACTTGGCGTAGTTGTGATTGTCCAGAAAGGCCGGCAGCCGCTGGACGATGGGAGTGGGGTTGGAAGGAACCCCATTGAGGCTGCTCCCTGGAGGTCTCACCACCAGTTTGGGCTTACCGGGAGGGCTTTGGGTTGGGGCTTGTGGGCATGAACTAGCCCCCTCCTCCACAACATCTGAGGGGGACAAAGCACACAGGCAGGACCTTTAGTCAGACCCTCAAGAAAAGTTGTCCCCGGCTCACAGTCTTCCTGAACAACTGAATCTGCTTCTCCCTTGCACACGTCCAACCCGGGTTCAATCCCAGCACCCTGAAGTGATCCCCGAGTGCAGCGTCAGGTGTAAGCCCTGAGCACTGTCATGTGTGACCCCACCTCCACCCCCCCAAAAAAACAAGGAGTAACAACCCAACAACTTGGTGGGATGGGAGTGAGCAAACTCTACGTCACGGACCCACAGAAGAACGAGGTGAAAAAAGAGGAGCAGAAAGGGAAAAACAATTTTTCTTTTTGCAGAGAAAAGCAATGAGGGACTCATTCATTACTGAGAGGAGGAAATGAGGAGGCTAGGTTCTGTGCTAGCAGCATCCTCTCAGGTGCCCTTCGAGAAGGACTGCTCCCCCTGCAGAAGTCACGGGGAAAGGGCAGCAAGCACTGGGCTCAGGCCCCCCATGTGGCCCCTGGACTGCAGCCCAGGGACCTCCACAGGAAAGATTAGCTTTGCCTGGGCTCCCAAGTGGATCTAAGAAGGGGTGGCTAGGAACCCCTTCATACCTGTGTGGGCGCCTTCAGAGGCCACTGGGGCTCTGCTTGCGTCCAGCGCCACGGGGGATTTACCACTGGTTGGTTTGGATTCCTCAGACAGCTGTGACTCTTGAGATTTGTGTGTCTGAATCAGCTCTGGCTGTGTTACTCTGATCAGCTGAAAACAAAAATCCACGGCTCAGGGCGTGATCCCAGCTCTCCTTGGGACAGTTCAGGGCCAGGGACTTACCTGCCCAAAGCAAGCCACCTATAAGAAGCTAGCCCCGAGTCCCACCTTCCCCACGGAGGAAGCAAAGGAAGGAAGTGGGTATCTGAAGTGCAGATCCTCTGGGGAGAGTGCCACAGGCACTCTGGTGCAGGGGAGCAGGGGGACACCCACCTGCTGCAGGGCCTCCAGGATGGTCTGGCGGTTCACCTTCAGCACATGCAGCCTGGACTCATATTTGATCCTGCGGTCGGGCACCACCGCCATCAGGTTGAAGCGGATGTCGTGGTAGGGCTCCCTGCAGTCACAGCCGCCGCTGTGAGAGCAGTTCCCGCCTAGACCTGCCCGCCCCGCCCCAAATCAAGGAAGCAGATGACTTGACAGCACTCCCTGAAGTCTTATCTGGCCTAGGTACAGGCCCTCCGCAATCCCCCAACCAGCAGCAGTGTGCGTCAGGCCCCTCTGCGGGGCTGTCCAACAAGCTGGGTGAGGGGCCAGCCAGAGAGTGAGCCAGCACATCTGGGCCGCGCACAGCTGCACCAAGGCCTGCCCTTCCCCTTCTCACCCTGAGGCAGGCCACAGGCAGCGCGGCCAGGAAACGAGGCAAGGAGCTGGCAGTCTAAGGTTGGAGACCAATCACTGACAGCACCAGATCCCCTGCAGCTTTGCCCAGAGTTCCCGGGCATCTCCTTGCCATGATTCCCTTTTGTTTTCCTCCCACCGGGGGTATAGCTCCAGGGGGTCAGCAAGCATAGGGCCCTTACCCTGCAGTGGCGAGGCCAATACGTTCCATGATGACCCGCCGGGCCTTATCTGTCCACTCCTCATCCTCCCCCCACGGCCCTAGGAAAGACCGGGATGAGGAAGTGCTGAGTTTGGATGGACCAGGAATTGGAAGATAGAAAGCAGGAAGGCCCAGAGCTGGGCTAGTCAGGGAATTCAGTGTATGATGGCCTCAGCCAGATTGTCCTCAACATTACCCACCTGCCCTGGGTCCCAAGCCCCCGAGGACCATGAATTCCAGACCCCTCCCCAAATGGGCCCGCAGGTCAAAAGCGCCTACCATGGTCGATGGGGTAGACCTTCAGCCCATCCAGTTCAAAGAGCCGGCCCGTGATAGGCACGTAGCTGACAAAGTGGAAAGCTTCCATGGTACGCACTGCACTAAGGCCATTCTGCTTCTCGGGGAGGTGGCGTGGCTCAGGCCTGGGGAGGGATGTAATCAGTGCCCAGAATGCAATAATCTTCCCTCACCCTCACCCCCACTGGCTCCCACAGGGTCCACACACCTGGCATGGCTATTATGGGCCTTGGCCAATTCGGGGGCGTTGCCAATCGCATATCCTTTGCTCTAGAGGAGGAAAATCGACCACATCATAAGAACACCTCAGGTGGACCTCACAGTGGGAAATAAAGCTAAGGAGAACAGGCCTAGAAGAATTCCAGGAACCTACGGAGGCACGAGCACTCTTCTAAAGGGCTAGTAGGAGCAGGAGAAAGCTCTGGAACTCCCCCAAAAGAGGAGCTCTATGGGCCTTGCATGGTAATCTGTGGACATCAAAGAGAACATGGCCTGGCGATGTCCTGATGAAAGAAAATGCTCCTTCCCTCCCTAGGTCTGGGTCTAAAACCTTTCTCACAACTGGCCTAAAACCGACTGCTTAACACAATTAATTTAACAGTCAAATGTAAAGGAAATGGTCATCTGAAAAGAAAAACATCCCAACATGACAACTACCATGAAGGCCCCGGGAGTTCTACCTGTCAGCTGTGACCAACACTCTGGAAGGTTCTGCAGCCTACCTCAGGGCTAAAGCCTTTGGTGAAGTCCTTCATGCGACTCAGGGTGGGCCCCAGGTCCACACTGCTGCAGTTCAGGAGCACACTCAGCAGGGCATGAGTAGCACAAGAGTTAGGGATCAGCTGTGAAATCAAGAACAGTCACCTATACCGCATCCCTCACCCCAAACACCATACTCTTCAAGGATGTGGGGACCAGAGAGGGCCAGTCATATCGAGACAATACCCCACATTAGCTCCCCTCAACTTCACCCAACATTTGTACCACTGAATACCCACTAAGTGTCTAGAACAAAGGGAGCAGACTCTGATAACACCCCGCACCTTCGCCACATTTTTTAAATTCTGGGGCCACACTCAGCTATGCTCAGGGTTTACTCCTGACTGTGTGCTCAGGGATCACCCCTGGAACAATATGTAGTGCCAGAAATCAAACCTGTGTCACATGTAAGACAAGCTCCTTACATACTAAACTATCTCTATAGACCAGGAGATGCCTCCATTTTAATAAACAATAAAAACTCCCAACTTTCTTACAGGCACTTCTATAAACACCACTCCTGGTATTGTATGTCCCCTCCAACCTTCCCCCATGTCCACTTCCCAAAGCAAATACAATGGTACTTCCGCCTCCAACCCCGCCTGCATCCAGATAGAATACAGACCTGGTGGGCAAAGAACATGTTATTCACGATATCATCATCAATCACAGATGTATCATCCACCAAGGTAGAGACCTTGCGACGGGACCTGCGCTCTTCGATCCATTTGAATAGGAAGATGAATCCATACACGGGGCTGAGGAAGTGGGAAAGACAATTAGCAGCCCCCTTCTCTCTCACTCTGGGCTCTAATATATTGTGTCACTGTTTCGGTGCCCATCTGATGGCACCTCCTCTCCCCTGCCTCTCTCCAAAACCCTCATACCCCAAAAGCCTGCCACTGACAGTCTCAAGCATCAGCCTCAGGGGCCTCCCAGTCTTTCTGCATGATACCAGTGGTTTCCGGGCTGGGGGCAGAACAGAGGGCAATGCAAGAATGCAGGACTGACACGCTCCATGCTCAAGTATGGAATTTCCAATTCGCACTCCTATCAGTTTCTTCCTTCCAGCGAAATAAAAGCAGACTCCTTGGTTCAACCAACACAGCTCTCTAATTGCAGGATCAATATAAGACCAGACCTTTATGTCCTCACCTAGGAGGGGTTTGGTCAGTAGTCACACTGTGACCAGGATCCTCCTGTGCATTTAGGCCACACGGAAATTGAAAAAAGCAACAGCAGCACAAAAGGTATTGTGGAGGTCGGGGCAGGAGAAGAAGCACCTGGATTCGAGATGAGCAAAGAAAGGCAGCCCAAACTGTCCTCCAAAGGAGGGGCAGGATTTGCATCAGGGGGCGTGTGCAATCAAATCTAGGGAAGAACTGAAAGCAGCTGGATCGGAAGGGCAACCGACGAGGAGGGTCACTTCCTTGGACGAACTTACACCTGGGAATTCTGATATTGCCGCCACTGAAGCGCACTCGCTCCGGGGGAGCTTGGCGGGCCCTCGGGGTTAAAAGGGGGGCCCCGGCGTCAAGCACTCACCCCTGGCATTTGCTCTGAAGGTCATAGATCTCCTCCACCTGCACCCCTTTGACACCTGCGATCAGAGAAGGAACGAAGTGGGGAAGGGCAGCCCCTGGCCCTGGAGCGTAGGGTGCCACCGAGGGCCCGCACTGCCAGGTCTGGCAGGGAGGGGAGGCGCTTACCGAAATCTTCCACCAGGAGGGTGAAGAGGCCTGTGCGGGGAGACCAAAGCAGCGAGTGGTAGTCAGGTCGGCGGACCCCAGGGCCGCCCGGCCCCCCCACCCCCACCCCCCGGTCTCGGCTCGCCCGGCCCGCACTCACCAGGGTCGCTCTCCAGCTCCAGCCAGCCCTTATTCATCTTCCCACGGGGCGGCCCCTCAGCGCCATGTCCAGGCCCTGCCGACCCACCGCCGCCCCCGCCGGGAGCCCCCCACCACCCCCGGGGCTCCGCAGCCCCCCACACACAGACAACGGGCCCCGCGCGTCACCCGCCCGCGCCGGCGGCCACGACGTCACCCCGGCGCGACAGCCTCCGCCCGGCTTCCGGGCCGGCGGCGGGCGGGCTCGAGCCGGGAGGCGGGGCGCGAGGGTGGGCGGGGCGCGAGGGGCGGGGCGGGAAAGGGGGCGGGGCGCGCGCGGCGCCGGTGTCGCGAGAAGCCGGGCAGAGACTGGCGAGCGGAGCGCCCGGCCGGGCCGGGCTCGCGGGGCCGCTGAGCCGCCGGCGGCGCGAGCCAGCGCGCGGCCGTTAGCGCGCGGCCGTTACTTGTCCTGCCCTTATAAACGGTCAGCGTCGCCGAGGACCCCGCGGCCGCAGTCTCCCTGGGTCGCAGTCCTCGCGACTCGCCCCCTTCGCCGGCGCAGTCATCGCGCGGGGCGGCCGCCCGTGAAGAAGCTACCACGGCTTGTGACAACGAGTAAAACCGGGGGACAGCGGCACCCGCGGCGACAGCTGGGCGGGCGGCCCCAGCGGGGACAGGCGACCCTCGTGCTACCTTGAGGGGCCGACGGCGGCAGAGGCGACCTCCAGCCGGCCGGCAAGCGCGACATGAGCGTGGCCTGGCACCCGCGGGATGCACCTTGAGCCCCTTCTCCAACTGTTACCTCCGGGGCGAAGTGGTGGCCACATCGACGCGTATTTTCTAAATCACTTTTTATTCTTGCGGCGGCGGCGGGGCAGAAGCGCTTATTTATTTTTTGAGTTTTCAACAGCCTTTTACGTAGCACTTACCCAGGGAAACAACGACGTAGCCGTTTCAGGGGAGCCTCCGCCCGGGTTGGAAATCTCGAACTGAGCAGCGGGTTTTTTTTTTTGTTTTGTTTTGTTTTTGTCTTTTTTTTTTTTTTTTTTTTTTTTTTTGCAAAAGCCGGCGTTTGCAACGTGCCACTTCCAATGCCTTAAAGATTGCTGCGTGTTCCTGTCTCTACCAGCGAGCACAGAATTCCACTCCAGGAACATCTTGGTCTAGCGATGCAAAGAACTGACGTTGCAAAGTTTTGTTTCTGTTGCTAGATGGTCGGGACTTCCCCAACAACTCGGCCGCTTTAGGAGCTCCCGCGGATCCCCTATTGCACGCCCTTCTCGCTTCTCTTCCAGCCTGTGCAGGTACTTTGCAGTAAAGGCAGCCCCCCAGTGTCTCCGAGGAGAGGGGAGGAGGTGGAGGAGCAAACCCGGGAGGGGCCGGCACACCTTTGAGGGGCTGGCTGCGCAACTTAGTAGCTGGACTGCTGCAGAATTGCTGGCCTTCTCTGTAACTGCTCCCAGGCTTCTGCTAAGTCCCGTTTGTCCTCCCTCTCCCCTAACACAGCCTTCCTGCCCCGGAAGAAATGCGGGTTTTTTTTTTTTTGGTCTCCATTCACTTCCAGGGATTAAGCCCTTACCAATAAAAGGGACACTTTTAGGGGTGGGAGAGATTAGTAGGCCCTACGGTGTTTGCCTTGCACACCATCAAACCTGGGTTTGATCCCCAGCACCCATATGGTTTCCCCAGCTCCTCCAGGAGTGATCTGAGCACTAAGGCAGGAGTAAGCCCTGAGCACAGTTGGTGGCCCAACCCCACAAAGTGACTCTCAGTCTGCTCGTGGTAGGCGGGGCTTTCCCAGGCATCTTTTCCTCTTCTAGACTTTTCACTCAGATCTGGACTTAGGATAGGAACAGCCAAATCCCAAGGCCCTCTCTCTGAGACTGAGGAGAAGAAGCAATGGAGCTAAAAGATGATTTGTCAGTGTCATCTTGTCTCACTAGCACGAGCTCTTTAGCCCAAATCACACAGACTTCTTTTCCTAGACAGTGCCACGGCGGCTCGCTTGTACCCTGTAGGGTTTAGACAAAAAGAGATTGCTGCCACCCAGTGCTTTTGCCCTCGTGCACAAAGGAGTTCAGCCAGTTCAAGCACCGGTTCGGAATTCTTACACTGCTGTGTGATAGTGATCACTCTGATCTCGGGCAGTTGCCTCCGTGACCTCAGTTTCTTGGTCTTGAAAAGGGTACAAAGGGGTTCAGGAGTTAGTGTGTCAAATGCCAAGGACAGTTGTTGATGCACTTTAATAATAATGGGCTATCGTAGCATTGCTACTGGGTGAGTCTTTTTTTTGTCCTTTGGCATGGGTCGGGAAGTGAAGTGCACTGTTGCTTTGATCCTATGGAACTTGTAGATTAAATTGCTGACCAGGCCCTATTTACATTTTTAGCTGGAAGAGTGTGTATCATCCTCATAATAGTATAGAAGAATTCAAGACAGGAAAGATAGGGAGCAGCGAATGAAGACTATAAAAGAAAAGAAGACGGAACATCAAAGACTGAGGTAGAAATAGATGCCATGTAAAGGAATTTGAGAGATATTACCCAGTGGCTTAAGGTTTCTGTGGCAGGGCTTTGCATGTTCTGGAGGCTCAAGTCTGATAGTATGGAAGCATATGCCAGTAGTTCCCTGGAAATTTGCCCTCCCAGCACTGTCCCTGCTAACAAAATGCTGGCTCAGAGCTCTGTTGCCTAAGTTTATATCTCAACTCAGTGTCCAGTGATGAGTTACTTCTTTTCTTTATGCCTTAGTTTCCTCACCTGGAAAATACAGTAAGAGTCTTCACTTTTTAGAGCATTTTTAAGATACGTGTTTGCCTTGCACGCAGCCAACATGGCCGACCCGAGTTCGATTCCTCCGCCCCTCTCGGAGAGCCCGGCAAGCTACCGAGAGTATCTCGCCCGCACGGCAGAGCCTGGCAAGCTCCCCGTGACGTATTCGATATGCCAGACACAGTAACAACAAAGTCTCCAATGAAGACGTTACTGGGCCCGCTCGAGCAAATCGACGAACAATGGGAGGGCCTTTACCTTTACCTTTACGTTTTAAGATACATTGAGCAAATAGCAAGAATAGTGCCTATCAGTAGGGAAATCTTTCTTCCTTTCTTTTTTTTTTTGGGGGGGGGAGTAACTCTTAGCATGGGGGTAGGGTTGTTACCAGGCTCTACTTGGCAGTGCTTGGAAGGGAGAGGCATTTGTGGTGCCCAGAATTGAACTCAGGGCATTGCATCTGCTAGAGATATGCTCTCCTACTGCCTTTCTGGCCCAGAAATTCTTAATCAACTTTAGTTGATTTTGTTATGTTTTACAAATATTATACCACTTGGGATTCAGAGTAGATGACAGAAGAAACAGGAGTTTACTCTTGAATGGCCTCAGCTTACACAGGGACTACCAGGAACTGGGAACAGATATATGGTCGTCGCATGTAACTTAAATCAGTGACTATGTTTTGTGCTTTCAAAAAAGAAACAGAAAAAAGAAAATGAATGGTCATGAGATATTCTGGTTCTCCATAAGCTCACGCATGACATTTTGGGGGAAATATTACCCAGGGTTATCAACAAGATCCTCAACCAACACCTATACTTCTTCCTTTTCTCGTATAGAAAATCTGCCAAGAGTAGGAGGGTAACCCAGAGGAAGCCATCTTCAGGGCCTGGTAAGAAAGAGTAGGTTCTGTAAGATCCCGAGCAACACTGTTATATTTTAAGTGTCATATGCAAAGTTTAAGAATCAAGTTAATTAAAACCTCTTCACACACACACCACACACACACACATCAAACAATTGCAGCCAACTCAAACATGGCCAAAATGATATAAAGGCCTAATCAATACCAAATAACATTTCATTCCATCCTACCTTCTTGTCAAAATGACCCTCTTCCTTTGGGGCTGGAGTGAGAGCACAATGGATAGGGCATTTACCTTGCACCTGGCCTACCCAAGTTCCATTGCCAGCACCACATTAGATCCCCTGAACCCCGCCAAGAGTAGTCCCTGAGCCCAGAGCCCAGAGTAAGCCCTGAGCACAGTCAGGTATAGCTCTCAAACCAAAACCAGAAAACGACCTCTTCCCAGTATTCTCTGTGTATGAAGACAGTTAAGTTCCCAAAGTGAATTCTCAACATTCTTTTTATCAGTCTGTCGATTATGCCAGCAAGAACCCGGGGATCCTGAAAAATTAGGGGAATTTCTTCAGAAAGACGATCTCAGCGTGCATTATTTCTGTCTTGTGAGTATAAGGTCCCCCTTTCCTTTGAATGTCTTACAGTATTTGCTGTACATTTGTTGTTTTTGCTCTTTGTTTACTTGTATACTTTTATCAATAGCTCTTTTTTCTTTTTCTTCTTTTTTTTTTTTAAGAAAAAGTTTTTTTTTTTATAATTTATTTCTTTATTGAATCACTGTGGGAAAAGTTACAGAGCTTTCGGGTTTAGGTCTCAGTCATGTAAATATCAAACACATTTCCCTTTACCAATACTTATTTTTAACCGGGAACCCCAATAGAACCCCACCTCCCACCCCTCCCAATTCCTGTGAGGCAGTTGAGTTCTAGTTAATACTCTATCTACTTTGACTAGATACATTGTTTCAATAGAAGATGCACAATTATTGTTTAGGGTTTACAACACCCCCCCCACCCCCCCCCCACCCCCCGCCAATCAGACATGCTGAAACAGCGTTGTGAAATGATTTGCTTTGTACAACTTTGTTTAAGAATAAAATGATGTCGCGCAGCCGCAATAGCGGCCGCGCGGTTTTGAATTTCTGCTATTTTACTTATTAACCCTGGAAGAATTTCTATTAAAAGTTAGATAGTTAAGAGATTGGTTTCTGTGCTCTGGAGTCATGGCCGTGCCGGAGAGCCGCTCGTGGGGGGCAGCTGGCGACCTCGGTCGGGCGTGAAGGACGGCCCATTACGCCCCCCTTCCCATGAGGTCCCTGCCGCCCGCCCCGCCCCCCCCCACCCCCGCGGCTCAAACCTGCTGTCCGGTGTGGCCGCCATCTTTCTTTCCAGAGAGGAGCGGGCGAGTGGGTCAACACCCTTTCCCCTCCGGGCAGGCATGCTGGCTCGGTTTAACACATAGTCCATTTGCTTTTCTGCTCCAAGTGGGTGGCTCTCTGTGCTAAGTCCTTGTGCCTCCGGGGCCGTGGCTGTGCCGGAGAGCCGCTTGTGGGGGGCAGCTGGCGACCTTGGTCGGGCCCAGAATGTCCCCCTTCCCATGAGGTCCCTGCCGCTCCCACCCCCGGCTCAAACCTGCTGTCCACAAGGCTCCCATGCGGCTGCCATCTTTCTGTTTTTTTTTTTTTTTTTTTTTTTACAGCCAGAGAGAGTACAGCAGATAAGGTGCTTGCCTTATACACAGCCAACCCAGGCTCAATCTCCACATGGTTCCCCAAATATCGCCAGGAGTGATCCCTAAGCACAGAACCAGTAATAAGCCTGAGCATAGCTGGGTGTGCCCCTCAAATTGCAGCACTGTAGCACTGTCCTCCCATTGTTCATCGATTTGATCGAGCAGGCACCAGTAACATCTCACAACAAATTGTGAGACTTGTTGTTACTGATTTTGGCATATCGAATACGGAACGGGTAGCTTGCCAGGCTTTGCCGTGCAGGTGAGATACACTCGGTAGCTTGCCAGGCTCTCCGCTCAAATAAAACAAAATGTTTTTTCATAAGTATATCTGTTATAAAGTCTTTATGTGATATCAGTCTTTAGGGACTAGAGAGATACTACAGTGGGGTAAGGCACATGCCTTGTATGTACCCACCCCAGGTGGATCCCTGGAATCCTATATGGTCCCTCAAACACTGCAAGGAGTATTTCCTCAGTGCAGATCCAGGAATAAACCCTGATCATTGCTGGATATGACCCAAAAACTAAAATCAAAATAAAATCTTTGTGTACAATAATCTCTTCCCAAAATAGTCTCCCCAATTCTCCCTATCCAGAAGTCAGTGCTATTCATAGTCCTTCCTATTTCCCCTCTAAACTCTTGTTTTAGTAGGCATAATTTGTATACTCCAAATGCATCCACTTCAAGTATACAACTTGATGAATACTTGATATAAATTTATTATTATTGATGAATTCAGATATCAGAGCTAGAAATATGCTCAGTGGTAGAGCACTTGCATGTCTGAGACCTAGGATTGATCCCTGGCAGTACCAAAAAAAATTAACTTGTATCATGGGGATATCATGGATATCTTCCATGTAAATACTAGTCCAGTCAAAATAAATATACTCACCGCAAGCTACTGAGAGTATCTCGCCCGCACGGCAGAGCCTGGCAAGCTACCCGTGACGTACTCAATATGCCAAACACAGTAACAACAAGTCTCATGATGGAGACGTTACTGGGCCCGCTCGAGCAAAATCAATGAATAACGGGAGGACCGTGACCGTGACCATGACCACTCTAGAGAATTCCTTTTTGCTTTTTTCTATCGAGGTAATCACTGTTCTAATGTAAAGATTTCTTTTACTTGCCTTATGTTTCATATAAACGGAATCAATACAGTTTATATTCTTTTGTGTCTGGCTTCTTTCTTTCAAGGCAAGGTTTTTAGAAATTCATACTTATTGCTTATATATTTTACTGCCTAGTAGTATTCTGTTGTATGACTGTCTAATTTGTTTATTATCTCATCTGTTGATAGACATTTAAATTGTTTTTATTTGGGGCTGTTATGAATAAAACTGCTATGAATAGTCACACGTCTTGTGAATAGATGTTTTTCCATTTTCTTGGGCTAACAGTGCAATTACTGGTTTTGTACTAACTATATGTTTGTTTGTTTGTTTGTTTGTTTTTTATGTAGGAGTACTGCTATTTGTTCAGCTGATTGAATTGGCCACGAACTCCACATTACTTTTTTAAAAAATTTCTTTAATTGGATATTCTTGAGATAGACCATTACAAAGTTGTTCATAATTGAGTTTCAGTCATACAGTGATCCAGCACCCATCCCTCCACCTGTGTAAATTTCCCACCACCAGTCCATGTTTCCCTACCCCCAACCCCCCAACCCCCCAGCCCCCCAGCCTCCCTCTGTGAAAGGCACTTTCCTTCTTGCTCTCTCTCCTTTTCCTTTTATGCATTATGGTTTACAATACAGGTGCTAAGAGGTCATGGTGTTTGTTCAGGGCATTCGGTATTTTTACCGGGATAGTAAGGCCTGAGTAGCTTTTCATTTGGGTGGCCATTTGGGGGTGTGGTGTGACTTCTAAGGCTTCCGGAAGTACAGGGAGGTGGGGTAGGTAGCCCAGCCCGGCCCTGAGAAAGTCTGGAGATTTCAGTCACAAAACCTGCATACCATAATTTTCAACAGATTATGTCTTGGTGAGGTTCGTCCTGAGACAGTAGAGTCAGGCCGGGGGTATGGTGGCAATTTTGGATTGTAGAAGGAAGTGGCTGTTGGGGGCTCTGCTTGGGCGAACTCCAGGCCAACCCACTCTCCAATTTTCCCCGGTCTGTTCAGCCATGCAATGCGGGTCCAAGCTTAACTGCGGTTTTGTATCTCTTTTGAGATTTATTTATAGGTCTCTGAAGCAAGGCCTGTAGTAGAGCTTATATGGTGGTGCTGGAGTTGGTTTGTGGGGGTGACTGCCAGTGCTTCCATGAGTATTGGGAAGTGGGGAGAGGTAGCCCATTCCAATGAGAAAGCCTTGCGATTTCACTAACTATATGCTTAACCTTATGAAAAGCTGCCAAATAAGTTCCAAAGTTCTTGTACCATTTTGTACACTCCCACTGGCAATTTATGAGAATTTAAGTTGTAAAATATTCTTGCCAAAACTTATTGTCAATTCTTTTTATTCTGTTTATCTACTAGGTTATATGGCATCTCATTCTCAATGAGTTTTAATTTGCATTGATTTGAAATCTAAAGATGTTGAGCTATTATTATTATATGCTTATTGACCATTCACTTGTGGAGTATGTGTGTGTGTGTGTGTGTGTGTGTGTGTGTTTAAAAGTGCCTATACAAATATTCTTAAAGTTGGGTTGTACTTTGTTGGGAGAGATACAACAGGGTTTGAGGTACTTGTGTGGTATGTGGCCAAACCCAGATGGGTCTTTGGCACTGCATTTGGTTCCTAAAGCACAGTCAGGACTGATCCCAGAGCACAGAGCAGGGCATACGGAGTCAGAGTCCCTGAGCACAGCCAGTTGTGGTCCAAAATCTAGGAGAAAAAACAACAACTTGGGATTGTTTTGCTTTACTTAGTTTTAAGAGTCATTTAATGCTCAGTGGTCGAGCACTTGCATGTCTGAGACCCTGAGATTGATCCCTGGCAGTAAAATAATAATAATAATAACTTGTATCATGGAGATATCATGTATATCTTCCATGTAAGTAGGTACTGCTCCAGTCAAAATAAATAAATATAGAGCTAGTATAGCAGGTTGAGCATTTACCTTGCTCAAAGTAGACCTGAGTTCAACACTCTGCTCTAAATATGGTTCCCTGAGCAGGACTAGGAGTAAACCCCCAGCACAGAGCCAGTAAGTCCTAAGCACCACTGGTTATGGCCCAAAAACAATCCCCACCCGCAAAAGAATTCTTTATGTATTTTGAATACATACCCTATTTTTTATGCCAGACACAGTAACAACAGTAACAACCCTATTTTTTATTTTCTGTTTTTTTGCTTTTTGTTTTCCAGGTATGTGGGTTGACTATTTTCTCCCAGTCTTTGACTTAAACCTTTTTCTTTTTCTGTAGTGCCAGGGATCAAACCCTGGGTCTCACATAAGCAGAACAAGCATTCTACCACTGAGCCACATCACCAACCCTTCATTTCCTCATGATATCTTTCAAAGAACAGAAAGTTTTAAATTTGGTCGTCAAGTTTACCCATGTTTTTCTTTTCTAGTTAGCACTTTTCAGTGTGCTCCAAGATTCATTGCCTTCACATGCTGCCCATTCGTTGCCCTGATGCAGCCAGGGGTGCCGTTAGCAATAGAGCACTTGGGTTGTAGGTGTGAAGCCCTGGGTTTGATCCTTAGCAATAGGGAGAATAATTACTTTTGTGCCTTTGTCAAAATTAATCAATGTATATCTATAGATTTGGGTGACCTTTTACATCAATACCACCTTGTCTTATTATTGTGTCTTAAAACAAATTGTTGTTATGGGCCAGAGCCATAGTACAGCAGATAGGGCATTTGCCTTGTATGCAGCTAACCTGGGTTTGATCCCCGGCATCCCATATGGTCCCCCTAGCACTGCTAAAAGTAATTCCTGAGCATTGCCAGGTGTGGCCCAAAAATAAAAGAAAACAAAAAAGTATAAAAAATTAATTGTAAGTTCTGCAGTCTTTTCATATTTATTTTGGTCTTTTCTGTTTAAAGTTTAATTTGTCAATATTTCATAAAAAGAAATCAGGTTGGAGTGATAGTACAACAGTTAGGGTACTTGCCTTGAATGCAGCCAATCTGCGTTCAATCTGCATTACTCCATGTGGTCCTTCTGAATCTTGCTAGAAGTGATCACTTAGCACAGAGCCAGGAGTAAACCTTGAGTACTACTGGATGTGATCAAAAAAGAATAAAAATTTTTAAAAAGACATTGAAGCCAGAGAGATAATAATGCAACTGGTAAGGTGCTTGCCTTGCATACAACCAACCTAGGTTCCATCCGAGGGTACTCTGTATGATCCCTGAAGCCCGCCAAGAGTGATCCCTAAACAAAGATCCTGGAATAAGCCCTGAGCACAGCCAGGTATGTCCAGAAACAAAACCACCAAACAAACAAAAGATGAGATTGGTGATTACTTTGAATTTACAGATTTGGGAAGAATTGACAAAATCTTCAGCCTATGAATATTATATAGTTTTCTATTTGATTTTTTATTTTTAATTTTTCTTAGTGAGGAAGTCTTGCATATCTTGCATAACTTATTGACTCTTGCTAAATATTTGCCATTGCTGTTTTTATAAATAGTATTTTAAATTTTTTTTTGAAGTTTCTTGCTGACACATAGAAGTGCAATTTATTGTTGCCTTGCAAGCTACCGAGAGTATCCCACCCACACAGCAGAGCCTGGCAAGCTCCCCGTGACATATTCCATATACCAAAAACAGTAACAACAAGTCTCACAATAGAGAAGTTACTGATGCCCGCTCAAGCAAATCGATGAACAACAGGAGGACAGTGCTACAGTGCTTTATTTTGTATTCTCTAGTCTTGTTCAATTTAACCTTAAAATTCAGTATGATTTCTGTTTTAGTTTAGTTTTATAAATTCCTGAGGAATTTTTTGTGTATGAATACTCATGTCATGTGTGAATAAAAACATTTGTACTCCTTCCTTTCTAATCTTTATGTACTTAATTTTTTAAAATATTTTTTATTGAGGTACTGTAATTTACAAAGTCATTCATAGCACCCAACTTTACAATCAGCCATGATCAAATTCCATGTGTACAAATTCCTGACCTCAACCCTATTACACCAGTACCAGAGATCACTCCCGCCTGGGCTCTGGGGCCATATGGGGTGCCAGGAACCGAACCCAGAGGAGCTGCCTTGCCGGCAAATGCTGTAACTGCTATCCTATCACTCTGGCTCCTCTCTGTGTCCTTTGAATTACTCTTCTTGCTTTACTTATCTTGAAAAGGCCTTAAACTTACTTTTCAGTTTAGTATTGAATAGAAGTTATGTGAGTGGATATTATTTTCTTATTCCCAACATGAGAAAGAACATTCAGTTTTTCTCTATTAAAATGTGATGTTAACTGTATTTTTCATAGCTGTTTTTCATCAGATCGAAGATGAAGACGTTTCTTTTTATTTCTAGCTGAGGAAATCATGAATCTGTGTTGAACTTGTCAAATGGTTTTTTGGTATTGAGATGATCATGATTTTTCTCTTTTATTTTGCTAATGTGGCTTGTTATAGCAATTTAATTCTTTAATATTAAACTAACCTTGAATTTCTGGGATAAACCCTGCTTGGTCATTATGAATTATCTTGTTTACATGGTGCTGAATTCAGTGTGCTAATATTTTATTTTTCACATATATGTGCATGAGAAAGATTGGTCCACAATTATGCTGTTTGGTTTTGCTCTCCAGTCTTGGTAATTTTGGTGCATTACAAGCATATACACTTTAAACATAAAAATAAACATATTAAATGCAGTATTTTGTATGTTTCCTTTTTTTCACTCTATGCACTTCGAGAGCTCTTTCCATATATAATGTTGATCAGGTGTTTTCTGTTTAATGACAATTTGGCATTCCCTATATGGATATGTCAAAAAAATTTTTTTAAATACCTGTTATAAAAACATTTAGATTTTAACTGTGCTAGAGCAATGTTAGTTCTTTACCTTTGCACTGAAAGGACCATTTTAATGCATTCAGATGCATTTTAATGCATTCATAGTCAGTACATTGTAAAAAATTTATTTCTAATCTTTCACCATTGATTTTTGCTTATAGAAATAATAGAGGTTCACTATAAGAAACATAAACAACACCCAAAAGTATAAATAATATAGGAATCACTCACATAATCCTAAAGCTCCAAAATAATTAAAGTAAATTTTTTTTTACATTTTAAGTGATATTTTTATTTTGGCATTGTGATTAATAAATATGTCCATAATAGTGTTTTAGGCAAACATTGTTCCAACTCCAGTCCCACCACCAGTGTTAAATTCCCTCCATCAATGTCCCCAGGTTCCTTCTGACCCAAAGTAAATATTTTAAACCTAATTGGGAACATACAGCTATAATCCAAGGTCCTCAAGTCATCAGACCTTGTAACTAATTTAACAATCTTGTTGGATCACCTTTACTGTGATGTTAAAATAACCTCAGCCTTCAATACACATTACATGTAATTACTGCAGGAAGTCCAGGACGTTCCATTTTTTTTTGTGGGGGGGTAGTGGGAGGGCTGTTACACCCAGCAGTGTTCAAGGCTTACCCCTGGCTCAGAGGTCACTCCTAGTGGGTTCAGGGGCCATAAGGGGTGCAAGGTATAGAACTTGAGTCAGGCCTGTGCAAGACAAGTGCTTTATCCATTGCACTGCACTATCTCTCTGGCCCTCCAAGACTTTGGGAAAATTTTGGGTGTGCAACTGACATTCTTCCAATATATGGACACACACATTATTTATGGATTTATAATATTTTAACTTTTTTTTCTCATTCTAGACTCTGTTTTGGGGAGATTTTCAGAAACAAATGGCCCTTTTAAAGTGTGTTTTTACAGACGAGATCCATTCCTCCCCTTCTCCCATAGCCAGGAAATTTTAAAACCCAACTTGCCCTTCCTGAGAAGAGTATTCTGTACTGAGAGGCTAGCAGTCCAGCGGGAGGGGAGGGATGTGGAGTCTACAGGCCTGCCTTGTTGCTGCACTGGCCCTAGTTTACAATGATGCTACACCCTAGTGACCTCTGGAAGATGGAGCAAATAGTATTTAGATTACAGGATTATGTTGAGTATCAACTGAGAGTATATGGGCGGTGTTTCCCCAAAGCATTGAGCCCATCAGTGCTATCCTCCATAAATGAAAACAGTATTGCATAAAAGTAGGGAAGAGGGGCCGGAGCAATAGTACAGTGGGTTGGGTGCTTGCATTGTGTCTAAGCAATCCCTGGCACCCAATATGGTCCCCCAAACCCTGCCAGGAGTGATCCCTGAGTGCTAAGTCAGGAGTAAGCCCTGAGCACAATCAGGTGTGCCCCACACCCGCCACAAAAAAATTAAGGTACAGAAGAGTCAAGGTTTCCAGTGGCCTTGAGCAGTCACATATTTTGTCCTATAAAATGAGGTGTTATAATAATGCCACTTAAAATTATTAATAGGATTAAATAATTAATATTTGAAAAGTAGAGTATCCAATATTATTTATATTATATAAGCCTTTGTGAAATCACCATGAATAGCAGTGGTTTTCAGCAGTTGGTCCTTGCATCATTGTCTGTACGCAGATGTATAAAGGTTGACAGACTGTTAGGTGAAAATATATATCTATATATCTATATATACACACATATGTGTGTATGTGTGTATATATATACATATATATATGTATATCGAACCAAAATCTATTTCTTAGCTCCCTTGCCTTGTTATCATCCTTACCCCCACTTCACAGTTTCACTATGAGTGTAACCAGACTGGTTCTGCCTCCTTCTCTCCCCCCACCAGATCCTATCTAGCAAGTTACCTCAGAGGGGCCAGTCCAACAGAGGTTTCCATGGATTCCTGCCTGAAGACATCAAAAAAGAAGTATCCCGAGCTTCTAGGAAGGTTAGAATTCCCTGCAATGAGGCCTCTTCCCGTACCTCTTGCTTCCATTCTCCCCACCCCCAACCCCTGCCCCAGTTTCTAGCTTAAATATCAGGAGTCATAGATTCCCAGCTGGCCCTTCTCTTACATTCCATTCTTCTCTGGGGTAGAGTATCCTGAGTGAGGAGAAGCAGCATCATACTGGAGGGCAGGGGACGGGTGGAAAATCCAGTGCTGCTCAAAGCTCAGCATCAGAGTGCTCAGAGCTTTTTGGTCCACTGAGGAAAGGGAATGACTGTTGCTTCACAAAATTTCTGTTAAACAGAATGTATTTGTCTTTCCTGGGGCTCTGGACCCTGCCTGGGATTTCATTTGCAGACCTGCTTTGTGTGCAAGAAAAAGGGAGCTGCCATCAAGTGCCAGAAGGACCAGTGCATCAAATGCTTCCATCTCCCCTGTGGCCAAGAACGGGGTTGCCTTTCACAATTTTTTGGAGAGTACAAGTGAGTGATGCAGGTGGAAAGTCAGGCCATCCGTTTGCAACTTGGTATGTCGTCACTATACCGAGTCCAGTTCTCATAGGCTGTTCTGACTCATCAGTGAGTCTGTCCCTCCATCTAATAACGAGTAACAGTATCTTGGAGATTTCACGAGCTACTCTTGCTTCCCCTTCTCTTCTTCAATTACGAACAGCTGACATTCTTCGACAGCTGTTGGGATCTAAGTGGGGCTTTCAGGAGCAGAAGGCTGGGCAGACAGTCCCAGGAGCTTTGCTCAGTGGGTGAGCAGCTGTGAGAGGCATGAGGCTGTCCTTTACCCTGATCCTGCTCCTTCCTGTAAGCATGGAGCGCCGCTGGTACTGGCCTGGGTTGGATTGCCCTTCCTTAGGCCAGAGAGCAGAAAAACGGCCTCACGGGCAAACCAGAAACCAAGTCTTTTATTCTACCACAGATCGTTTTGTGGGAAACATCGCCCAACACAGGACATCCAAACGGGGAATAGAGGAGAGGAAAACTGTGTCTTATGCTGTGAAGACTTATCCCAGTCAAGTATTGAAAACATCCAGAGCCCATGCTGTAGTCAAATGATCTACCACCGCAAGTGCATACAGGTGGGTCTGCTCTGGAAACTCCCATCCCACACAGCTGCTATAGTTCAGAGAACCTGGGCACACAGGCAGTGCTCCACAATGGCGGCTTAAATGCAGACGGGCTACAGGTGATCAGAGGGAGTCAGCCAAGTCGCTGGTGATCTATGACCTGTAGGGCCTCATTCCTAGTAAGATTTAGATCAGTGCTTCCCAAACTGGGCAATACCCCACAAGGAGATACTGGAATCATGAGGCGGGGGGGCGGGGGGCGGAGGTGGTAGTAGTCCTGGGTGCTTTCTGTTTGTTCAGTTCAAAAAGACAGATGACTGGATAAAGGAACTACGGTAGATCTGCACAATGGAATACTACTCAGCGATAAAAAAAAAAGATTAAGTCATTGCAATTTGCTGCTACGTGGATAGACATGCAGAGTATTGTGTTGAGTGAAATCAGTCAGAAGGAGAGGAACAGACTCAATGATTTCTCTTATATGTGGGTTATATATAAAAAAAAAAACTCATAAGGGATTATCGAATGCCCAGAGGTGGTAGAAAACAAGAGCAGGAGAACTGGTCTTCATTAGGAAGTTGCCACTGGGACAGGGATGAGGAAGGATAAGTCAGGGAAGGGAAAAACAAGGACAATAGTGGAGGTGTATGTGTGGGGGGGCGGGAGGGAAATTGGGGACATTGGTGGAGAGTAATGGACACCAGTGAAGGGATTGGTATTGGAACATTTTACACCTGAAACTAAATCATAGATATCTTTGTAACTTTATAATTCATGGTGATTCTATTAAAGAAATATTTTTTAAAAAGGGCCTAGAGTGATTGTACAGTAGGTAGGGCACTTGCCTTGCATGCAGCCAACTCAGGTCCGTTCCCTGGCCCATATGGTTCCCATGCACAGCCAAAAGTAATTCCTGAGTGCAGAGCCAGGAGTAACCCCTGTGCATCATCAAGTGTGGCCCCCCAAAAAAATTAAAATTAAAAATAAATTTTAAAAAATTAAAAAGAAGGGGCTGGAGCAATAGCACAGTGGGTAGGGTGTTTTCTTTGCACGTGGCTGACCCAGGTTCGATTCCCAGCATCCCATATGGTCCCCCAAGCACCGCTAGAAGTAATTCCTGAGTGCATGAGCCAGGAGTAACCGCTGTGCATCACTGGGTGTGACCCAAAAAGCAAAAAAAAAAAAAAAAACCCATAAAAAAAAGAAGTTCAACTTCCAGGAGAGCTCAGTGATTTTTAAATAAAAAAATCCCCTGAAAAATTGGTGGTAGGTTAAACATGTTTGGGAGTTCATAATTTAAACTGAACAGCATCCTCAGAATGGCTAGTGCAAGTGAACTTATCCTAGGATAAGTCAAGTAGTCTCAAAATCAGCCGTGCCTCCAGGGAAAAGGGACAGGCACCCAGGAACCTGAACCCTCCTGGGTTGGTTCTGCCATGTCCCATGACCAGAGATGACAACTGACAGTCCGGGAGCTTTTGGCAGCATTTTGTCCCCAGGCTGTATCCTGGATTGATAGCCCTTACCCAACTCTTCAAAAATCCCTTTCCTGTCACTTCTAGTTAAGCTCTCTCTGTAATAGTCCCTGTGAGGTGAAGGAACAGTGTGGGGATTGAAAGATAACTTTTTTTTTACAAACACAAAGCTGTTCCATGTTTGTTTGTTTTTCAGAAATACGCCCACACATCAGCAAAGCATTTCTTCAAATGTCCACAATGTAATAATCGAGAAGAGTTTCCTCAAGAAATGCTAAGAATGGGAATTCATATTCCTGACAGGTAAGAGAAACGCTCAAGCAGGAATTGAGCCAGGGCCTGGGCGGTAGAGAGGAGGTGAGTGAAGAAGGCTCAGAGACTGAAGAAGGAACCAAGGAATTGAGAGTGAAGCATGAAAGGATGGAGGAAGAGCTTTGCAAAGATCAGAAGAAAAGGAGCAGGAGAGGATGGGCATAGTGGTAGAAAAGAAAGAAAATACCTTGGGAATCAGAATTCCCCCGAGGAGCCGGGATCTTGGCATTCCAGTATTGAACTAAGGAGCCCCGTGTTCATTCTTCTTGATTTGATCCACTCCCACTGTCAGGTGTCTCTCTATAGGAGCCTGGGATTTCTTGCTATGCTAACCTGGATTTTTTTCTGGTTCCTCCCAGTGACAAAGTTTTTACCAACGGATTGTATATTCTTTATCACTGTTTGTTCTGCCACTGCAGAGATGCTGCATGGGAACTCGAACCCGGGGCTTTCTCAGAGCTGTATCAGCGCTATCAGCATTGTGATGCCCCTGTCTGTTTGCATGAAGAAGGAAGAGACAGCTTTGAGGATGAAGGGTAGGGAAAGGCTCCTGGCTGCAAAGATCTCTTCTAAGGTGCCATCTAGAGTGAGGCCATGGCACTGAAATTCATTTTTGTCTGCAGATTTCAGAGGGAAATTGGTTTCTAGTGCCCTTCTTGACCCATCAGGGACTTGCTGGAACTAGTGAACAGGTCTCTCTGTGCAGCCTCCCCTGTGAGCCAGGACCTTTCCAGATTCACCTAATGAATGGCTGTGCCTGACTCTGGAGTCCTGGGGTCTGTTTAGCCACACAGCTGCCAAGGGTAAATGCCTAGTGAGGGGTGGGGTTGGGGAAAGGCCTCGATGGGATCAGAGAGATAGTACAGTAGGGAAGGTGCTGGCTTGTCTTGCACACAGCTGATGCTGATTCAATCCCCTGCCTTTAGAGCACTCCCAGGAGTGTTGATTCCTAAGCACTGTTTGGTGTGCCCCCTCCCCCAAAGGAAAAAAATGGTTTGAGGGATTAGAGAGGTAGTACAGTGGGTAGAGCCTTTGCCTTGCATGTGGCCAACCTAAATACAACCCCTAGCGCCCATATGGTTTCTTAAGCCCCATCAGGAGTCATCTCAGCACAGAGCCAGGAATAAACCCTGAACACTGTCAGCTGTGGCCCCCAAACAAAATAAAACCAACATAATGCCTTGAGAAGCCCTCCACAAAGCCTGGTTTGTGGCCTACATCCCCGAGCAGGAGTGTTGTATTTGTCCCACACCCTTCCTTGGGTCTCTTCGTAGGAGATGGCGCCTTGTTCTGTGTGCTACGTGCGGATCCCATGGGACCCACAGGGACTGCTCCTTCCTTAGAACCAGCTCTAAGAAGTGGGAGTGTGAAGAATGCACCCCTATTACAGCAGCAGGTGGGCCGGGGAGCTGTGGGGCCTGGGAAGGAGGCCAGGTGGGGCCTTTATTCGTTTGGGAGGAGAGGGTTAGGGAAGGGCTTAGGTCTGCACCTGAAGAGGCAGAGATTGAGTTTTCCTCCTGCTTTTCTTTCGCCACAGACTACATGCCTGAAAACTCAGGGGACTTCCCCTCCTGCAGCAGCACCTTCCACTCTGAGGAGCACTTCTACAGTGACACGGGCTTGGAAGACATCCCAGGCCCTTCTTGGAGTGATTGGTCAGGCCCCTCCTTATCAGATAAGCCAGAGTATGGCAGGAGGGGGCGCTCCTGGCCCTCGGAGAGTGTGAGAATCACTAAGAAATGCAGGAAACCCAAGTGACAGCTTGTGAGTAGTCGCTGCCAAGCACATCCGTGCGTTCCAAGCTGGGCTGCTTCACATTGTCTTGGGAGGTGGCCGTTGGGATCTGTGGGACAAGGAAAGGTTCAGCAGCAAGACTATGGACCAGAGAAAGAGAAGTCCCCAGAGGGATGTGGGATCAGAGCAGAGTTCAGACGCCGACAGAGAAACGTGTTTGTGGCTCGGCGCCTCTGCTTTCTCCCGGCTTACCAAAGGGCCCTTCTCCTTTTCTTCTACTGAGATTCTTGACCTTTATTTGGTTCTCATATGCCTCCTCTTCAACCGCACGTGTTACTATACAAATAAATGTTCTCTCTCCATTGGTCTCTCCTGATAAGTTCACTCTGGAATCAATCCAGCAAATCAAGGAATCTGGTGGGTCGAGTGAAGGAATAAGAAACTTCCTTTTAATGTACAAAATTCAGTGATTTCAACATAGAACTTTTGTATTTCTTTAGAGAGAATCCGTTTGTAGGAAAATCAGTGTCAGGATCAAAGATTTTCGTTATGTGTAAATATGCAGGCTCTCATGAGGGAGGTGAGCCAGCAAAGGAATCTACCCAACTGCAGGGCTCAGGCAGGCCTCATACGGGACGGGATCTGCCACGCTCCTATGGAGCAGCTTTCAGCACACTTCCTCAGCAGGTGTGAAGACACCCTCCAATCTTCCACTGCCCACTGGCTTGGGCATTTCTACCCGGGAAGAGACGGTGCCAGGACATTCCAGGAAATGTGATTACAATGCAGTTAAAAGGTCTTGGAGGAGCCCGAGAAATAGTAAAGCCAGTAGGGCACTTGCCCACCCAGCTTTGATCCCCAGCACCAGCCAGCACCAAATATCGTTCCCTGAGACCTGTAAGCCATGATCCACTGCATAGATGAAAGGCTTTGTTTAATTTCATTTATTCTTACCAAGAAATTTTTGATCCCTGAGTGTAGAGCCAGGAGTAAACCCTAAGCACTGCTGGGTGTAGCTCAGAATCTACAAACCAAACAAAAAGAAGGTGATCTTGGAGAAATTGAATAGCTCCTAGCTTCCATTGTTTTTAATGGCTTTGTGGGATCTTAACTAGTGAGGGAACCCTGGGACCATTGCCAGACACTGAATTCAGGGTCTCACTGGCTAGGAAACTTACATCTTTTTTTTTTTAACTTTTGGGTCACACCCGGCGATGCATAGGGATTACTCCTGGCTCTACACTCAGTAATTACCCCTGGCGGTGCCATATGGGATGCTGGGAATTGAACCCGGGTCGGCCGCATGCAAGGCAAACTCCCTACCCACTGTGTTATGGTTCCAGCCCCCAAGACTTACTTCTTGAGGTAGACTGTAATCACTTTCTGACCTATATTTTCTTGGGATGGGGGAGAATAATGTGTGTGTGTGGGGGGGGGGGCACACCTAGCAGTCCTCAGGGCTTACTCCTGGCTCTGCACTCTGGGATCACTCCTGGCAGACTTGAGGGACCATATGGAGTGCGAGGGATCAAACCTGAGTCAGCAGGGGTATGGTGCTGCCAGCAGGTCAATCTGTACTTGTGAAGCGAGTGCATCAGCAGCCTGATGGCACCTTCAGACTTCCAGATACACCAAAATTGCTGCTGTGCCTTTGACCAGACCCCAAAAACTTGGGGCAAAGTTTGCCAAGAAAGTAAATGGCCAAAAGTTAGGTATGTGGGAGACACACCCACAAACAACCTCTGGCTCAGCTATATAATTGGAGACATGGCCTTTCTGGTTCCTGATCGAACTGCTTAATGACCATGATCCCAGAGACTCAGAAACAAATCTCAAAACCCAACGGCTTTTGGCAGAAATGCATCCAATCCCTGGAGTAGGTTACAGGCACTGGGCCACCCAGGTGGAAATAGGTTTCGTGCCTTGGCCTGTTCCCCCGGCGGCCCGGTGGCCACCATCCTCCAAAGGCCACTGGACAGTCAGGTTTGGGCCCACAGTGATGAGACATGTGGGGCCTCACGGAATGGGGGTGGAGCCGGCCCTTTCCTCCCCGTTCCAACAAGACCCCGAGTCGTGGCCCACAAACGGCCTCTCTGGCTCCTGATCAAGCTGCTTAACGGCCATGATCCCAGAGACTCAGAAACAAATCTTGAAACCCAGCAGCTTTTGGCAGAAATCATCCAGACCCCGCAGTAGGTTACTGTCACTGGGCCACCCCAGAGGGGAAAGGGTTCTGTCCCTCCACCTGCTCCCCCTTGGCAGCTCAGTGGCCACCATCTGCCAGAGGCCATTGGACAGTCAGGTTTGGGCCCACAGTGACGAGACACGTGGATGGGGGTGGAGCCAGCCCTTTCCTCCCTGTCCCAACGAGACCCCAAGTCTCGCCCATGAACGGCCTTTCTGGCTCCTGATCAAGCTGCTTAATGGCCATGATCCAAGAGACTCAGGAACAAATCTCAGAACCCAGCAGGTTTTGACATAAATCCCTCCAGATTTAATTGTTAAAATTTCAGAATTTCAAAATCGTGTGGTCATGCTGCAGCCACGCGACATCATATGTTAGTCTTAACCAGCAATAGAAAACAAATTGTCTACTGTTGCCTTTTCAGCAGGTCTGAGTGTTGGCGTATAATTCCAAATAATAATGGTGGGTCTGGTATCAAAATATTGAATGTGATCAAGGTAGAGAGAGAGTAATGTGGAAATCATCTGCCCACAGGTAGGAGGAGGGTGTGGGATGGGGGCATACTGGGGTTTTTGGTGGTGGAGAATGGGCACTGGTGAAGGTACGGGTGTTTCATTGTATGACCAAGACTTAAACCCGAAAGCTTTGTAACTACGCTCATGGTGATTCAATAAATAAAATTATAAAAAAATAAGGTGGACTTCATGCCCAATTCAATCAGCTAATCAGTGGCTGAATAAATAGCAGTAGTCCTACTTAAAAAAAAAAAAACTGGGGCTGGCGTGATAGCACAGTGGGTAGGGCGTTAGCCTTGCACACGGCCGACCCAGGTTCGATTCCCAGCATCCCCTATGGTTCCCTGAGCACCTCCAGGAGTAACTCCTTAGAGCAGAGCCAGGAGTAACCCTTGTGCATCGCCAGGTGTGACCCAAAAAGCAAAAATAAATAAATAAATTAATTAAAAAAAAAAAACTGGGTCAGCTGTGTGCAAGTCAAACTTCTAATCCACTGTACTATTGCTCCCGCCCTAATGTGTCCTTTTATTCTTATCAAAGTATGCAAACGGGGGTCAGAAAGATAGTACAAGAGTAAGACACTTGCATGTGACCAAACCTGTTTCAATCCCTTGTGCACACATGGGCCCCCCAGGAGTAATCCCTAAGCACAGAGCCAGGAGTAATCCCTGAGCACCACCAGGTGTAGGTCAGAACCCACAAATGAAAACCAAAAAAAGTATACAAAGTTGTATAGACTAAAAAGAATTTCAATCAGTACTGAAAAAAATTTTTTTAGTACTGAAATGGTTTTACGGAAAGTCTCTTGATTCAAATTTCCATCTCCCTGAACCTACTCCTTCCTTAAAGGTAAAATTGCTTTCTCTTATTTCTTGATTTATTATTCTTTGACATTATTGTCTTCCTTTTGTCATAGAAAGATTTAACACTTAAAGTCTTCCCACAAGGAGTAGGGGGAGGGGCCAGAGAGAGATTACAGCAAGTAGGGCCTTTTGCCTTGCAGACAGCCAACCTGGCAGCCCATGCAGTCTCTCGAATCCTCCAGGAGTGACCCCTGAGTGCAGCCAGAGTGAGCCCTGAGCACTGATGGGTAGGACCCAAAAACAAAATTTTTAAAAATTAAAAAAAACCCTTCTCATATTTATTCTCTCCATATTTTTTATTGCATTACAATTTTGTTAAATGGACTTTTAGTATTTACATTATTGTGATTATGTAAATGCTGTTTACCACTGAGCCAAACAGTACACTATGATTATTTTTCCTCTCCTGCACATTATTTTTATTTTCCCAAAATGAATGTGTTCTTAATTTGTTCAATTTTCTATGTGTTTATAGCTAATTTCTCTCAATGTTCCAAATGATCAATAAAACCCCTCAAGTGCAGTTGTCGTCAGAGCTGAAGTATCTGCTAGGTCACAGCTGCACTTCTCTCTGAAGACCTGCCTGAGCTCCTGCCCCTGCCCCAGCAGCCCTTCTTTTCTGTCACCCGGGGACTCAGTCCTTCATGTTCTCTCCCACCGTCCCAATGACTCGATGCTGTGCTTCCAGGCATCCAAGGACTTTTTGTCAGAGCTATTCAAGTAACGAGAATTTTTTGCTTTTTGGGTCACACCCGGCAACACACAAGGGTTACTCCTGGCTTTCCACTTAGGAATTATTCCTGACAGTGCTCAGGGGATCACATGGGATGCTGGGAATCAAACCCGGGTTGGCCGCGTGCAAGGCAAACGTCCTACCCACTGTACTATCACTCCAGCCCCGTAATGAGAATTTTTAAGTTGTAAATTTTCATTTCGAATCATATTTTGAAACAAATTGTGTCTATCCCATAGACTCAACTTTTGCAGAGAAAATTCAAAGACACTCCCAAAGTTGACTATTTTCTCCATCTAGAATTTCTGTAATCGTCAACCATTTGGGGTCCCTCCCAAGAGAGTCTTGTCTGTACACTGAGAAGCACTTTTTGAAGATTACTTATTCAATCCTGTGACTTGCAAAGGTACAGAGTTATTCATGATTGAGTTTCAGCATACAATGTTCAGCTCCCATCCCCTTCCCCCCACCAGTTCCTCTGTGTCCCTCATCCTGCCTTAGTGGCAGGTACTTTTTCCTTTTTCCTTTTAGGCACTGTTGTTCGCAATACTGTTACTGAGAGTGTATCACATGTATCAGCACCTTTACTGCTTGTCAGCACCCAGTCTTCTTCCAGAATAACCACTTGCCCCTGTCATTGTCATAGTAGCCCCATTCTCTGTCCTAACCCCGTCCCCTCACTCCCACTGTGACAAGCTTCCTTCTAAGAACAAGTCCTCCTGCCATTCGTTTCTATTGTCTTTGGACTTTGTTCTATTCTTATGTTTCCTTATATCCTGCAAATAAGTGTGATCATTCTGTATCTGTCCCTCTCCCTCTGGCTTATTTCACTCAACATGATACTCTCCAGATCCATTCATGATTCAGCACATTTCATAACTTCATCTTGAGAAATGCATCTTTTTTTTGAGGGATGAGGGGTGGACATCATCTGGCAATACTTGGGGGTTACTCCTGGCTCTGCAGTTAGGAATTACTCCTGGTGGTATTCAGGGGAATGTACGGGATACTAGGTACCAAACCCTGGTCAGCCACATGCAAGGCAAATGCCCTA